CGCGCCGGCTCAGGGCCCCTGGAATCCCTAGCCCGCCACCGCCATTTGGACTGGAACCCCCCTCACCTCCGCCGCCACCACCACCACCACCGCCGCCGCCGCCGGAGGAGGAGTAGTAGTAAGCGAGCCATTTGCATTCGCCGAACAATGCCACTCCTAGTGGAAGAGGTTAAGGTCCCAGGCTAGCGGCGCATATGTTGGCTGCCGGTTGGACCTACATACATGGACCTACATACATTATATAGGATGTAGCTGCCGCTAAGGGTGTAGCTGCCGCTGGCGCATGTCACACGCACCATACCGTGCCTGTATGGTAGCAGGATGAATCCGTTGATGAAAGCTTGGTAGCTTCAGTGCCTCGCCAGGAGGGTTTGTGCAGGTGCGGGCCCGGCTCGTTGCAGCAGTGCTAGCCTCGGCTAGATTTATTTACACGTAGGTAGGTAGGTAGGTAGGTACGTATGTAGGTAGGTGGCGACATGGCTGCGATGGATGTCACGATCTAGGCTGCTTGCTTAGGCTCCTTCCCGAAAGGATTCCTTGATGAGTCGATAAGAATCGTTTTTGCTTGCTCGCTTGCTTGCTTGCTTGGCTGCTTTCTTATATTATTGGCTGGCTGGTTGACTGATTTTTGACAATTTTCCCGTCGACGGATTAATTATGAAGATGATCTCGAATTATTATCCATACGTTGGCACTTAAGCTATATCTCTCCTGGTATAAATGTTTATAGAGATTATGGGGGGTTCCCGAGTGGGCAGAGGATCTGCAAGTTTTACGGCTTGGCCACGCCGCGGAGGACGACGAGCATGTACTCTTGGAGCGCCCAGCATATAGCACATGTAGGAGCTTTCTGTCGGGTTCCGGATAGATCAGATTATGACGGACGCGATGGCTGCGGTTGGCCAGCTTAAGTTGCCGAACCTTATCCACAGGCATACGTGGCATATGGAACACGGGGGGTTTCCCCCAGAAGCTCAACTCATGAATATTGAGGCTAAAGCGGCCAAGCTTATTGATAGGAACCTCGGACCGGTCGCACAAGAAAGACGACTCACCGGGGTTCCTAAATATTTGTTATATGGCCATCCAACTTTGGGCGGTTTGGGGGCATTAGCAGTACGACAACATGTACAAGCGCGATGGGCATGCTGGGCAGTGCGTTTTGTGAGAGCATTACTCCAACCAGTCTTAGTGCATCCGCCTTGGGTGATGGTCATGCACTCTTTCCTACATAGCCTTTACCCCAAATATAATCCTATGTGTATTTTTACGTCCCAGGTGGGAGTGCCTTGGTTTGGATTAATCGTTTTACCGCCAGATGTTCAGCGCATTGTGACAGCGTTGGCATACCTTCCCCCAGTGGAAGATGTTGATGACCACCCGTTAGTTCCTAATGCGTGGTGTTGGAATTTGCCATTGTGGGGAAACCCTGTTCTTCCAGAAAAAATTGAATGTCCAGTTAGATAACATCCGCCCGGGACTAGAATTTCGTCATCAAGCCCTCCTGGGCTGTAAAGCATTGCATACGTTGGGAGATGTTCTTTGCGCGCGAGAGGCCTTGGATGGAGTTATGAATGCAACGGACCAAGCAGGCCTAGCAATACGCAAGGCTTGGCATCAAATAGTGGATAAATACCTCCAACCGCAAACCCCACTAGCTAAATCCCTGTGCACCTATCGTAAATGGCAGGAATGTATGGATGCTATTGCCGCTCTTCTAGATGATATTCCAGCGAATTGGAGACAGGCGGCTAGTCTTTTGTTGCCGCTGAGTGTAGAATCTAGGGAAGCGATGGTGCCCCCTATTGAGTCGGTTACTCAAACCCTAGCGTCGAGGCTTGGTTGGAGATGGGGTGTAGGGCCTCCAATCCGATTCCAACATTTATCCGTTAAAATAGCGACTAATATGCAACTTTCACCTTTTTCGATGGCTCGCCGTGTGGCCCATACCCTTTTCATCAAAGAGGCGACGGGTTCTTCTGAGATATTGGATGAAGCTATTCTTCTTTTGCAACGGACATTCCATCGTTTATGGTTTCATTTACGGTGGGAAAATGAACAAAAAGAGATTTGGTGGCGTCTTGCGGTTGATGGGGTGCCTATGTTAGGAAATTCCCATCTTAGGATGTCGCGCCCAACGATATGTGGTTGTGGAGGTTATCCAATAGGTTCAGTGGGAGGTGTATCCCCTCGCTATCATCATTTCTGGGCCTGTCCGGTGGCACAGGCAATAGCAGATCAACTTACTCTTTCAATAGGATTGCCAGTCTCAAGGGAGCAACTTTGGCTTATCCAAGCCCCACAATCAGTGCAACAATGTGTTTGGGATGTTGTGGCTCTTGCTGCGGTGTCAGCCATGGAGCATGGGAGACGTTATATGGCTGCAAACATGAAAACCAACCCGGCACTGTTACCTGGTCCTTCCCTTACGGAAGAAGCAATTTGTCGAGTTATTGTTGATTTTTGGGGCCGCATTCAGGGTTTCGCAGCTTTAGGAATTCCACGAAAAGGTTGGGAATCCGTTGGCGCACATCACCCCTTTTTGAGGATTATATCTGGCAAATTGATTTGTTCGCGAGAGCGGTTACCGATGAGAGGTTAATTATCTGAGATGATAATCTTTTGGTATATTAGTCTCTACTGCAGTGCACGGCCAGCTGGCCCGATGGCTCTACTCTTCGGGAGTCTGGAGCCCACTGTAACAACCACACACACACAGGAAAATAGCAGGCACAACGCTACGGCATACGAGTCCTGGTAGCTCAACTAGTTGTTGATATAGTTTTCTTTTCTTTTCTGATATTGGGTAATGGGATAATAGTCTTTAGATTTTTCTTTTCCTTTTTTTCCATTTTGGACAGCCCTAAACTGGCCCCGGCTCGTATGGGCCGTTACGCCTTCGGAGGGTTATTTACCTCAAGTTGTAACACACAAATACACACATATGTTCGTTTCCAGGTGCTGGGGTATGCATATCGGCAAGCAGGCACGGCGTGTCTAAGGGGTTCCAGCTCGCTTGTTCGCTTGGGCCTGCAGGGCCAGGTTTGGGCCGTGCTTGCCCTGCCGCCCTGCCTATAGCTTGGCCGCTGCTGCTACAAGCCGCTGCATCAGTTGTTTTCGTCATACCTACTGTGATGAGCGAGTTTTGATGAGTGAATGATTTCTTTTCACCAATAATTTGTATTCCGCTCATGTAACGTCTCGCTCGTGCCACGTACACGCCCGCTCCGTTCCATAGCCAAGGACTGTTCTCCACACAGAAGAAGCATGACAGCCGATGCCTACCTTATAATACTACAGATATGCTACACCGAAGGCTCAAGGGCAATATCTATACGCCTAAAAGCCACGGAGGACAGGAAACACAGCACTATTAGTCCAGGCTAGCGTCCGCGGGGGTAACTGAGTTGCGGTGAGCCCTCATACGTTCCAAGATCTTCGCCAGACGTACTGGCTCCCATTTCATGGCCTCCAACATGCTCTGTTAATAATCGAATCCCTCTTCCGCACGAATATCATTATAGGCTGGGCATTCCAATAACACGTGTTTTTCATCGTCGATTTGGCTATTAGTACCACAACAGCGGCAAAACCGCTGCGCCCTGGGGACATGGAACTTGCCCCTTTGTACTCTGTTTGCCGCCAGAGCCCAGCAACATAAACGAAACTGTATTAGCTTACGATGTGCTAAATAAACGAGGAATGAAAACCTTAGCATGTGTTGGCCACATTAACGGCTGCGGCTCCCGAAAAGGGCAGCCCCATCCAGTGCTTATTTATACCTCGCCATCTGTACTCCCGGTTGCTTCCCACCTGATGGGTACTCCTCTGGCAAGACAGTCAGGCGCGCATGGTCCCAGCCGCTCGTCAAACGCTCCCTTTGTGCCGTTATCACCGCTCCTTCGGGGAAAGGTCTACTCATCAACCAGCCAACACGCTTCTTTACCCCCATGATTTCTTGCGGTATTCCACTCATATATTGCACACCAAGAAGGAAAACAGCCGTAACATTGAGGTCCCCCAACCTACCCATTAGCCTGCTGCTGCATGGTAGCTAGGGCTTCCGGGGAGTGTGAGTTTGTGTTTGGAGTCATCTGGAGCGGTTTACTTGGTTGCAGAGGTGCAAGCGTCTAACAGGCGCTTTGGCTGGTAAGTAGCAGTAATTCAGAAGGATAGCCAGCTACACTTGCTTGGGACTTGCTTGCAGCACAGTAAAACTGGAGTTTGATTACAGACCATGATGCCTGCATGCTTTGCCCTATAGGGAAATGGCATTCCTATAGGAGAAGGCATATTATCACAATAACATAGAAAGGCAAGCGAACGAGTGGGGAGCTGCAGTCAAGTAGGCGGCCAATCAGATTGATTTCCGATCAGATTGATTTCCGCAGCATACACATATCCAAACCTCCACAAAAAACCATCTTCAGCAACCCACTCATTTTCGGCCGACATCCTTCGTAGTGAGATGAAGCGTTCCAGATTCTAGATTTTTAAGGAGCCGTTACGGAATATGGTCTGGTAGAATCGCACGATACAATGCGTACTCACCAGCAACCCTGTTCAGCGATGATGAAAAGGTTTCGCGGTAAAAACCATGGACTTTCTCATCACGCATTGTGGTTTCAAGCAAGTGAAACATATCGCTCTCAAATGACCTGTTGCCCATGGCAGCAAACTTGGTAATGACATCATCGGGAAGATCGCACTTCCGGGCATAGTCGCACAACTGATAAAGGACATCCTTGTTCGTCATATCCCATACATTCACGTGTTGTGGCTCGAAAACATACACCGCCCGGGGATTGAACTTGGCATATGTCACAGCGTCAGTCACATTATCCGTGAAAAACGCAACTTTGTCATTGGGATTGCCCTCTCTGTACAACCGTACACCTCGGTATAGCACATGTGGTGCCTGAATGACCCCTTCCTTCTTCGCAAGTTTGACCCTTACCAGACCAACAAACTTATCCCTCTTAATCCTATCCCTTAATTTCAGGCAATTGAATTCGTAAATCTTTGTTCCTGTTCCACACGGGCGAGTGTCGGACGGTGCGCCGCCTGCAGAACATGACCAGATTGAGCGTATTTAGACATGACCTCAATATGATGCACTTGAGAGTCTCCTAAAACTGTATATTTCCCAACTAGGGCTGGGAATTACGGTTACGGTCCTTACGAAATTGCGCATTACACCGTAAGCAATTACGATGACCCCCAAAAACACAGTAAAATGACGGTCCTTACGGTGTAATGTAATTACGGTTACCAAAAGGTCCAAATTACGGTCGGACCGCAAGCGTGCGAGCCAATACCGACGACCACACCTCGAAACATGCCATTTCGTCCCTTGGAGCTACGGGATAGTCTTAAAAAGCTTATTATACATTAACCTATGATTAAACTATCACAAAACACAGCCAAAAAATGCTGAATGAGGCGAATACATTTCAACCGGAGCCTGCCATCCTTTCGGCCGGAGCGAGACTGGGAAGTTCGGCCGCAGTCCTGGGCACAGCTCCCAGCAAGGTGCTGCCCTTCATTTGGGCTGAGAAACGCTGCTTCATGGTCAGCGGCTTACCAGGGGCAGTGTCGGAGCCCGCCTTTGGCTGGATGTCACCCATACCGCGGCTAAATACAAGCTTAGGTGCAAGTCACCCTGATAAAACTATGTAAAAAGGTATGAAATAAGCTTATATATCGTTATATAAAAGGAAAGAAAGGACTTGGCTCTGACAACGAGGACCGTAAATCGTTACGGTCCACTTTGCCCCGGAACCCACCGTAAATTTCAGTATTTACGGCGTTGCGCATTACACCGTTAGGAATTACGGTCCATTTTATGGAATTACGGTGTTTTACCCAGCCCTATTCCCAACACTCGAACAATTCATACTACGCCCACAAAGCGTTGGCACAAAAACGCTCAGAACGACCGGAAGACAATGGAAGTGAATCATGTACCCCCCAAAAAACAATGCTCAAGTCGTTGGCTTCTCTTCCACCACCACCCGACATACCCAGAACTACCAGGAAGGACGCGACGAGCTTGTAAGACATTCAACGACACATGAAGAGCCTGAAAGACTTACCGAGAAGCTCGGGACCGGGATTCTACTTGGGAAGAAGGCGACTCGGCAGATGCCAAGAGCTTGAAGCGTAAAACTCGGCCAGAGGCTCCCGTGCCAGAGCCGGGCAGAACCTCGAAGCTCCAGATGGGTTAACCCTTCAGCAAGAGAAGAAAACGTAGAAGTGAATACCGGCTTTGGACACGTAAAGGATAGGAGGTCACACATCGCAGTGTGAACGCAAGTTGCACTCCAAAAGTCTAGACCGAGACTTTAACGTACACTGAGGAGGTACAAAAGGATTAGAGGAGTCTCCAAACTTACCGGGAAATCGCTTACCGGGCGCGCGCCCAGTCAGTTTCACCGAGATTCACTGAGTACAGATGTGAGAGTTGGGAGTCCAGAATGAATTCTTTGAAGTCCAGAGTCCAGACTTCAGAGCAATGAAGCAGTCCATGCCAATATTCATGAGGAACTATATAATATAGTTAGTTGACTGCAGATGGCCTGAGCATCTTTCCACGAATATTCTGTATCGGTTGGGTATATTTATTTCGAAGATTCGATGGGGCGCAAACGTGAAAAGTAAACTTGGGAGTAAATAAATGCTTTGGAGACGGTAAGACCAGGCCGTACAGTGGTACTAGTGGTACATCTACCTGGACAGCCTGTTACCTGAATTTGCTTTACCAGTACGGGCTGTCCGTGCATCAAACGAGGAGCTTTCAGAGCTCGGTCGCCATCAGTAGCTATTCCGGCGAGCTGGCGGGGCAATCCCGGGAAGGCATGTAGGTCCAACCGGCAGCCAACATATGCGCTGCAAGCCTGGGACCTTAACCTCTTCCACTAGGAGTGGCATTGTTCGGCGAATGCAAATGGCTCGCTTACTCCTCCTCCTCCTCCGGCGGCGGCGGCGGTGGTGGTGGTGGTGGCGGCGGATGTGAGGGGGGTTCCAGTCCAAATGGCGGTGGCGGGCTAGGGATTCCAGGGGCCCTGAGCCGGCGCGGAGAGGGCGGCATCCTTGGGGCGGGGGTGAGGGCAGTGATTTTTTTTCATTTAGGGGGGGTCTCAATTTATTCCGACCTAAGTAACAAAGTTGCTAGCGTCGCCGTAATGTATTCCTTAAGTGTGGGGCGCTGGGGGGGGCTACACCCCCCCAGACCCCCCCCGATAAGTTACAACTCCCCTCATAGACCAAGAGGCACGCACTGCGTTGGCGCGTTTTCGTTCATGTGCGCACTCTTCATGCACATGCATAGATAGTTCTGGCACTGTTTGTGAACAAAAATAAATCCGACCAAGCAAAGGCCCAAAGCAAGCAACCGCATAGCAAATCAAAGGCCGTCACCCGCCACTGCAAACCACAGCACACTAGGACTCTACCGGTTCATCATGTACCGGCCCCTGCTGCTGCTGTCCAGCCACTTCCTCAGTGCGTCACGGAACGGGAACGTGCCCAGGTCGAACAGGTCCTGGGTAAACATCCGCACACACAATGCTAGGTGCTCGTCCAGGCGGTTGCGGGTGGGGTCCCGCTTGGCACTGCGAGCGCTCGGGTTGGGCGCCTCGCCGCATTCGATGTTATCGAGCTGATTGGGTGACAGCTTGCGCTTATGGTGATCACAACCGCCATGGAAGGCAGGGGTAATGGCGCCCGTGTCATCGGTCGCCGCTGGCAGCAACACCAATGCCGATGCATTACCGACAACAGCACCGCCGTCCCAAACGCCTTTATCAGGAAAAATTTCAGGCTTATCTTGCTGTTTTGGTGTTTGTTCGGCGTTCAAGTCGTTGCCTTTTGCTATGTAAGGACCAGTCATACATTCTGCTATGCCGCGTTGACTCACGGGCTTGACCTTCTTACGGCCCCTCATATCTATTCTATGATCGACAATACTAAGTTCTGCACACTACGGAGCAATCTGGCAGCAATAGACGTTTCTGGCTGGAGGAATGAAGGTGCTGTTCACGGATGACCGGCCCTATTTGCGTCGCACGCCCGCGGCGACACCTGGCCCAGACGAGGTGCCGCCCTGGAGCGATGCTAACCGATTTCTTGCCAACGCGCTGCTCGCAATTCCAGCACAACCGTCTTTTTCCCTTAAACAACAGCAATTTGTTAGGGTTGACGAACGTGAAGGAAACTCGACCCGAACAAAGTCGACTTTGTCATGTCAACGGTATAGCATTCCTTCAAGCCACAAAGAACACAGTAGTTCAAATAGTAATAATAGTAATGCTCTTATTATAGGAACAAGTATTTGCTCCGTTCTTGTATGTGCGATAGCGACAGCGACGTGCGGCATTCCAGCCTGCAATATGTGAGACAGAAAAGATGATAAATGCCTTATTGCTACTGGTGAACTTTGTAAAAATGAAAGCAAAACTGTCCAATGTCTTTCTGTACGGGCGGCGCAGGGGAGGGCGGCGCTGCACTGGGCGGCGCGGGGGAGGACGGCGCTGCACGGGGCGGC